GCTCATGTTGGAAAAAGTATCGATTAAAGAAAGTGCATATCTAAAAGGAGCGGGTGTTGTGGAGATGAACACACTTCTCCAGGAAGAGGACTTGGACTCGTCGAAATATATATAGACTGACACCGAGAATCATCAGTGGAAAAAGTAAACTAATAAAGAGTTAGAGATCTAGCTTATCTGTTTACTAACTATTTCAGGAAGACTATGTCGCAGCCAAGCGACATAGTATTTCTTGATTGTGTTATCTTCATTTAATGCAATGAAGACATAACAAAATCTTTATACATTTTAATTACCCCCCGACGATAAATGACTGAATAGTTTCTAAAATTATATCGTATACTATAAATCTTATTTATTTTCGGGTTTTCTACTCGAAATAAAACAAGGTTTATGCTTAAGTTCTGTGATAGCGACAGTCCCGATACTTTTTGATCCGGCCTCGTATATATTAATGTTTTATAATTATAGGTAATAACTTATTAAAATGTCAACCAACTTATCGTAAAATTATAGATAGAAAAGTGTGTGTGTAAGAAGGAGAGAGAGAAAGGGACAGAATAAGTGAAGAGAAAGAAAAAGAAAGAAGTGCCAGAAGGGATAGGGAAAGAAAACGAGAAAAAAAAAAAAAAGGAAAGAGAGAGAAAGTGAGAGTAAAAATAGAAATGAAAGGAGAGGAGAAAATAAGGAGAAATGAACGAGAAGGATTAGATAGAGACAGAGGGAAAGAGAAAGAAAGAGAAAGAGAGATAAATAGAGAGAGAGAGAGAGGGTCGAAATTAGAAAAATGGAAAATAAAATTGTTTATTTTAAAATCTGAGAGGGTAAAGGAAATAAATAATCATACAGAGAGGCAGATAGATAGATAGATAGATAGATAGATAGATAGATATGAAGAACGAAATAAATAGATAGGAATATACTGGGATAGATAGATAGATAGATAGATAGATAGATAGATAGATAGATAGATAGAAAATAAAAAACGAGATAAATAGATAGGAATATACGGTGATAGATAGGAATGAACTAAAAGGTTAGATAGAGACAGAAAGAAATAGAAAGAGAGATAAAGAGAGAGAGTGAAGAAAGACGAAATTTGAAAAATGGAAGGTAAAATTATTTATTTGTGGTCATACGGACATTTAGATGATGGCTCATGTGAGCCGAAAACTTAGATCAAGAAACAGCTTTATAAAAAATATCCAAATGTTGGACAATTTCTGTTCTTATTTTCACCCGAAATTAAAGCAACCATACGAAGTTCAGAACGGCTCATGACCAAACATAACAGACATTCATTGTCTGATATATTTAACAATATCCGTTTGAATAACGAGCTGCTGCCCCAATATATATACACAGAAGATATATATATATTCTGTTTATACGTTATTTTTATAGATACAATTTATTTAAGTAAATGCTCTGTTTTAATTAAACAGTATTAAATACATTTACCAGATTAAATGTTCGAGAAATTTCGTAGAAAATATGCGTTCTCCGACTTTATACTCGTATGGAAACCGTCATTTGGTCTGACGTGGTATACCATTTAACTATAGAGAAGTGTCGGTTTAGTAAAGTCTAAATGACTGTTTTTAAACGTACAATCATCGATTTTTCTCGATCGATCATATCTGCTCACAAAACACATCTTAAACGTAAATGATATAAATTGTGTGTTTAAATGATCAAATGACAGTTTCCTTATAGGAATACAGGTTCGATTACTGACGGAGAACGCATATTTTCTACGAAATTTCTTGAACATTCAGGCCGGTAAATGTAATTAATATTGTTTAATTAAAAACAGTGCATTTACTTGAATAAATTGTATGTATAAAAATAACGTATAAACAGCAAACATTAAATAACTGTCAAACTTAATCCATTTTATATATATATATATATATTTATATATATATATATATATATATATATATATATATATATATATATATATATATATATATATTAAAAATGGACAAAGTCCGACAATTTATTTTATTAAAATTTTTATGTTTTATAGACATAAAAATGTCTTTAATAAAGTAAATTGTTGGACTTTGTCCGACTTAATATATATATATATATATATATATATATATATATATATATATATATATATATATAAAAGAACGTTAAATATAAAAAATGTGTTTAATAAAATATATATATATATATAAATATATAGAGGTATATAGAGGTACCAAAAATTTCGTTTGAGGATGAAACAGAGCTTGATACTTTAATTCAATTTAATTTTAATAATTATACTGGCTTTGGCTTTGGCTCCTGTTTTTGAAACATGAGAACTCTTAGGTAGCGAAGGAATCATATTTTTAAAAAATAATTATAATTTAGGCTCTATTTATGTATTGAGCACTGTTTTTTTAAAAATAAAAACAGAAATACTGAAGAACTTCGGATTATTTATCTAACGTATTCTTTCCTATATTTCTATATATTTGCGCGCGCGCACACACACACACACATATATATATATATATATAGGGAGAGAAAGAGAGTGATAGATAGATATGAAGAACAAGATAGATACATGCGGAGGTAGATCGACATGAAGAACATGATAAATAGATACATTCGGTGATAGATAGATAGATAGATAGATAGATAGATAGATAGATAGATAGATAGATAGATAAACATGCAAAGTTTGAGATCGAAAAAAGACCAAGATAGAAGCCCTGGGATAGATATAAAGAGACTGAAACAAATATAAAGAAACAAATACAATATATATATATATATATATATATATATATATATATATATATATATATATATATATATATATATGCGTATATATACAGAAGGTCCTCAGGTCACGTCGGACACAACGTACGGATTATTGTGGTTAGGGCGGCGTCTCCTATTGCATAATACATCGTCACACGAGGAAGATGGCGTTGTTTCTTCAACAGCTGTACACCATATTGGATTGTGTTACATTCTCTCTCGTTTGTGTCGTTTTGTGGGGATCTTTTTGCCTTGCATCATGGCTCTCAAGCGCAAGGCAGACTCGTGGGTGCTACGTCGATATATATATATATGTAGATAGATAGATAGATAGATAGATATGAACATAACAGAATAAGAGCAAATTATGAAAATTATGTTAATATAGATAGATAGATAGATAGATAGATAGACGTAACGAGTGAGATATGAATAAATTATGTTATGGATGTTAATAAAACGAGGTAGATATGAAGAACTAGATAGATAGATAGATAGATAGATAGATAGATAGATAGATATATAAAAAGAACGTATAAACATAGATAGATAAATATGAAGAGCATTAGATATATGCAAGAGACAAATGTGGAATTTCGAAAGAGCTTTATGAAGAGAAATTCTTGACTTTTAGTTGTTTCGTGACGAAACGCTTCCTCTGTTCTGCACACCAGAAATAAAATATGTGAGAAGACAATCTTAGTTCGACCACCCGAAGATAATTGTGAAATAACGAAATGCTGCAAAGTTCTTAATTGTAAGATGAAGAAGTAGAAGAAGAAGGAAAAAAAAAGTTTCATAAATTTGCTGCGTTTAGGAAAGCGAAACAAGAAAAGAAGAGCGATTGGTTAAAACAAAACAAAAGTGGAAATTTCCCTCCCACAGGTCCAGTTCGTATCACGTGACTTAACACCGTTCGGCTTTTGTCTAGAAATCCTGTTTTAATCACGCAGAAAAAATGGCGCCCAGTCTTTTTGAATATACTTTTCTTTTTTTCTTTTTTTTTTTAACTTAGCCTCATATTCTGAATAATTATTTTAAAAATTAAAAATAATAATAATAAAACCTACTGTAGATTATGTCAATACCCTGTTTGACATTCGGAAAACATTTCTTTTTTAGATAAATTAAACAAAACTTGTTTAAGACGTTAAACAAAGCAACCAAAAAAAAATAAATAAATAAATAAATAAAAATAAGCTATGTTTTTAAGAGTGGAAAACAAGTTTTAAAAATAGCCAGGAGACTAATTCTATTCACTACACTTTTACAATAAAGACATATGACATTTTACTCTGAAACAAGAGAAAGGATTCTTAACGTTCAGTAAAGATGTAGCAATACATTATCTTCGTCTGATATTTTTTGTCTCCTTGCGAAGACAATAGAACGAAAACACATATTGAATTTTATATCTGCAATATTCTCAAATAAAATACTTGACAAAAGTCTTAGGAAACGTTGTTTTAATACCTATAGTAATAATGAAATATTAACCAGAGAAAGTAGAAAAAGAAAAGGAGAAGAAAGGTCTAACCATCAATTGTAAGTAGACAGAGTGTACAAGGTCTTATAAAAAAGAATCGGAGCTGTTGCTATGGTAACAGAGCTAAGGTACGCAGAAGGAAACTGCTTGGCATAGATTGACCTTGAAGCCTGTCGCGCATGCACACCAAGGTATAAAGTTCTTGCTCACTTCCGTTGTTTATAGCAATGCCTGGAAGGAAAGTGTGTCGAGTGTGGTTGTCTCACCACACCACAGAGATTGTCAGTGACCATCGCTTGTGTAGTTGTTTTTGACCAAGTACAACATCGCCCAGGTTCGACAACTACCATATTCCCCAGTTCTGGCCCTTTGCGACTTTTTCATCAAAAAAAAAAAAAAAAAAAAATCAAATGCCACTTGAAAGGAACAAAATTTCAAAACCTCGAGAAAGTCCAAGAGAATACGACGAGGCTGAAGCTCGCTGTTCCAAAAAAGGAGTTCTAGGAAAGCTTCCATTAATGGAATTAATGAAAGCATATACAGTGGGTGGATTCAGAAGAGGACTACTTCGAAGGAGATTAAATGCCGAATTGATATGTATTGTAGTTTTTTTTTTTTTTTTTTTTATTAGACTTCGTATAGTTGACAGCAAAAGGAACAGAGCAAAAAGTGAAGTACGAATTGGAGACGCCGAAATCAACTTTTCCTTTTACTAACGACCACACATTCTCTCTCTCCTTATAATTGATACTTCGTCTTTAGTAATCTTTTACTACCTTCTGTACGAATTCTTGTCGTTTCTTTCTGTGTCTGCCATCAACAAAGTGTCATCTGTATATCTTTACAATACCCGTCTCAATTTCTAGGATGTGTAGTTACCACTGTTTACACATGGATATTGTCCTCATCTCTGTCATTGTCACAATAACGGATACATACATACATATAACTAAAATAAATCCTAAAGAGCCAAGAAAACCTACCTATGTTTCACCTAAACGGATCTTCAGGGTAAACAGGCTTACTCTGAAGATCCGTTTAGGTGAAACCTAGGTAGATTTTCCTGGCTGAAACCTAGGTAGGTTTTCCTGAAAACTAGGAGGCTTTTCCTGGCTGAAAACCAAGTAGGTTTTTGAAAAACTAGGGAGGGCTGAAACCTAGGTAGGTTTTCCTGGCTGAAAACTAGGTAGGCTTTCCTGGCTGAAAACTAAGTAGGTTTTCCAGGCTGAAAACTAGGTAGGTTTTCCTGGCTGAAACCTAGGGAGGTTTTCCTGGTTGAAACCTAGGTAGGTTTTCCTGGCTGAAAACCTAGCTAGGTTTTCCTGACTGAAACCTAGGTAGGTTTTCCAGGCTGAAACCTAGGTAGATTTTCCTGGCTGAAACCTAGGTAAGTTTTCCAGGCTGAAATCGAGGTAGGTTTTCCTGGCTGAAACCTAGGCAAGTTTTCCAGGCTGAAACATAGGTAGATTTTCCTGGCTGAAACCTAGGTAGGTTTTCCAGGCTGAAACATAGGTAGATTTTCCTGGCTGAAACCTAGGTAAGTTTTCCAGGCTGAAACCGAGGTAGATTTTCCTGGCCTTTTAGGATTTATTTTAGTTATTTACGCTCTACTTAGCGTATTGAGCACTCTACGTTTGAATCTTACTACACGCTTGGGTTTCTTTTTGCTTTGGACTAAAGACTTAAGGCACTGGACAATTTATTTTGCCTTGTTCGGATATTTTTAGTTTTTTTTTTATTTCAAATTTTTTCCTCGGGTACCGATTTGTTTTGACATATCTACAAGTTGAGCTATCTGAGTTTTTTTCCAAACGAGTATTACTTTTTTAGTACATATATATATATATATATATATATATATATATATATATATATATAAACATTAAACATTGAAGCACACGAGAGACGACAGGCTGTTTCATGCTGCACGCAATCGTCAGGCCGCCTAACGATTGCGTCCAGCATGAAACAGCCTGTCGCCTCTGAGTGTTGACTTCAATGTTCACTTTCATATTTATATTTACATATGCTCTATCTCTGATATATATATATATATATATATATATATATATATATATATATAGCTGGTCACTCATATTCGAGGATACTCGTCTACTAGTCTACTAGAGTGGCTAGCCAATCCCTATTGCAGACGCTTGCTCAGGCGTATTTGTGTTTATTCAACACCCACCGAGCCCAGCTGTGGTTTATACTGCAACTATGCTGAGCAGACCTTCGTTACAGTTTCTTGGAAAGAGCGTGTTATCTAGCGTGATGAACAATTTAAACAAGGCCAGCACGCTCAAGTCCTCGGCCACGATGACTTGTGACAGCTATTGACGGCCACCCAGTTTCACTCACAAGGCTTGGGTCAACCCGTGGTATGGTGCTCAGGCACTTTCCAAAGATGCCGCACCCCCAGTCCGATAACATCAGAATGTCTCCTTCCTGACAAATCGACCATGGTGAGATTCGAACCGGGGATTCATGGTCAGAATGCCATCGTTCTAACCACTCGGCTACATGCCCATACTGTTACTCCAACCATCCTACTTATGCGGCCTGTCGATCCGGATAACCCTCGGAGAATTTTGAACTATTCCCTTTATTTTATGTACGAGGGTAGATTGATCTCATTCTGTTGTCCATGTATGGGAATAATAAGACATAATATAACGATTGGCTTTCCTTAGATTCTTGAAGGCATATTTTGTTATTGCAATGCCCATTCAGTTTACGGTGTTAGAGTTTTCATCCTCTTTTGAAACAATCTCCAAATAACGTGTACTTACTTGATTTTGACAACTTTTTTTTTAATATCCGAGATCTCTTTGCAAATGGTCCAGTTATTTAATACTAGCTTAAAAGCCACACGTTGTGAGGACTTTTAAGCTAGCTTTTGCGTAGGCCTAAAGTAAAACAGACCTCTGTTACAGCTTAGAAAACAGCAATGATAATTTTGAAGAAATAACTTTGAATTCATTTAATTCACTCCATGGAACTTCAAAACCTCAATTTAAATCCAATTCCGTTAATAAGTTCAAATCCGACCAAAGAGACCGATTTGGGCTGAAACTACGATTTGGGCTGAAAGTCCGATTTGGGCTGAAACTACGATTTGGGGAAAGCTGAAAACGATTTGGGCTGAAAGTCCGATTTGGGCTGAAAGTCCGATTTGGGCTGAAACTACGATTTGGGCTGAAAGTCCGATTTGGGCTGAAACTACGATTTGGGCTGAAAGTCCGATTTGGGCTGAAACTACGATTTGGGCTGGAAGTCCGATTTGGGCTGAAACCAATATTTGAGTCAAAGGCCGATTTGGGCTGAATTTCCAGTTCAGACTGAATTTCCAATTCAGACCGAAAATTGAGTTCTTCAGATTACATAACTCCGTGGAACTTCAAGACCTCACGTTACGAAACCTCTGAATTTAACTCTGATTACTTGACATTTTTGAAAAGACATTTTTTAAATTCACAATGAGTTTTTGTTACTTTAAACTCAATATGAATTAAAAACTTTTAAACGCGCTAATTTTTTTCAGTTATTTTAAAATTTGAATTTTTAACTTTTCCCTCCTCACCAGGAGACAAATTCCAATACCGGATGTTCAAGCACCAGAAGGGCAGATTTTCAATCCCCGGATCATCCTCATTCCAAAAAGGTAAAATATGTTTTGTAGAGCAAGTGAGGCCCGAGTTAGACGGGTTTACAGACAAACATATGAATAGACAGATTTGCCGTTCATTATTTAGATTAATGTTCAAATAGCAAAGCCAGATTAATTAACTTTATGTCAGAGACGCTGAGCCAAGCATCCGTATCACTTTCCAAAAACGCCTGAACAGAATTCATACGAGAATGAAATCCGAAAAGATGTCTTCTCGTTAATATTTTAGCGCGTCAACAGTTTAAAATCGCTTCCGTTTCAACAGTAATTATAGCTTTAGGAAAAGCCAGAAATTTTAGTGAACCAAATTTGTGCTGTAACGGGAGATGACGTAAATGAATTTATTAAACAAATACGTCGAAACTTTCATTCTCTCTAACGATTACATATATAACGAGTTGGATTTATTAAACAAATACGTCAACACTTTCATTCAAATCTCTAATGAT